CAAAGTTTGCCTCTTACCAGATACATAACCCTGAGAAAGGGACTTAGCTTCTTTGGGCCTCTGTTTCCTCGTCTATACAATTGGATAATTTAATTCCGATCTCACTGGGTTGCTGTGAAGATTGAACGGTGTTTAGTAGTTTTTAGTAGCTGGCATGAAGTCAGTGTGAAGTGAGCGAGTGGTTGGAATTACTAGATTAGATTATCTCAGTCTCATGTGATGAGGTTGCTAACGAGGTGGGTAACGGGGCTGACGAGACATGCAGGGACTGACTGGAGTTTCAAGGTCCAGACAGTTTCTCTCCAAGCGATAGAGAAGGGGCAGATTAGTCACAGAGTCCTAGCGGTGACAGTTGAAGCAAACAGGGAGGCGATGCCAGGTCAGGAGGCTGCCGTCCAGATCCGCCCTCATTGTCTGACAAGTCTAGAAAGGGGAGGAAAATTCTTAGTTTAACATCTTCCTGTGGACTGAGGACAAGTGTTTTTTCTTTTTCTTCTTTTTTTCTGAGTACGTGATTTTTTTATTTAAGGTCTCCCTTTATTTCCCAGACTGGAGTGCAGCGGCGCAATCATGACTTACAGCCTAGAACTCCCAGGCTCAAGCAATCCTGCTGCCTCAGCCTCCCAAGTAGCTGGGACCACAGGCATGCACCACCATGACCAGCTAATTTTTCTGTAGAGACAGGACCTCCCTGTGTTGCCCAGGCTGGTCTTGAGCTCCTGCCCTCGAACTCCTGACCTCAAGTGTGATCTTCCCGTCTCAGCCTCCCAAAGTGCTGGAATTATAGTCATGAGCCACCACGCCCAGCTGATCAATGCTGCTTTTTGTTGCTGTTTTTTGAGACAGGGTCCCTGTGCTGCCTGGGCTGGGGTGCAGTGGTATAAACATGGCTCACTGCAGCCTCGACCTTCCCGGGCTCTGCCACATAGCTGGGACTGCAGGTGCATACCACAACGCCTGGCATTCGCAAGATGCTAATTATTTTGTATTTTTCGTAGAGATGGACTTTCAGTATACGGCCCAGGCTGATCTCAAGTTCCTGGGCTCAAGCGATCCATCCGTCCGAGCCTCCCAAAGTGCTGGAATGACAGGCACCCAGCCTGACACATGTTCCTTGCGCATCTGTAACACGCCAGGCTGAGTGCAGACGGAGAAGGACAGGTTGATGGGGAGCAGGTCAAGCCAGAGAAGAAGATGGTTACTTCTGACTGATAAATGCAGAAAGTAAAAGGGAGAGGGACAAGACACGGGAGATGTGGGAATCGGGGGACAGGTGAGTGGAGTCCCTGAAGACAAGAAGGGTCCAGCCAAGGAAAAAAGAAAGAGTAAAAAAGAACTGGCCGGGCGCGGTGGCTCAAGCCTGTAATCCCAGCACTTCGGGAGGCCGAGGCGG